TTCCTTGTAAGAAGACATCGTCCAGTGAAGTCACAGCAAGACTCTTTCTCGATAATGTGTATCGATATCATGGACTACCAGATGATATCATATCAGATCGAGGTACCCAGTTCGTGTCAAAGTTTTGGAGATCTCTCTTTGGGATATTGAAGGTGGATATCAAGCTTTCTTCAGTTTTTCATCCTCAAACTGATGGCCAAACGGAACGGGTGAACTAAGTCTTGGAGAAGTACTTACGATGCAGCATCAACTATTAGCAAGACGATTGGACTGCATATCTACCGCTAGCCGAGTTTGCATATAACAACACCCTCCATGTGTCGACTCAACAAACACCATTCTTTTCCAACTATGGGTATCATCCGAAGCTTGATTTATTGAGTCCGTCAACAAATAACAATCCAGCACCTGAAGGATTTGCGAAGCAACTATCAGAGCTTCAAACTATGTTGAAGCTTCAATTACAATCCGCTCAAGAATCCTATAAGACGTCTGCAGATAGATTTCGGAATCCAGCACCTACTTTCAAAGTTGGAGACAAAGCCTGGCTTCTTCGACGAAATATCAAGATCAAGCGACCATGTGATAAGTTGGACTATCGAAGATTGGGACCATTTATCATCCAGAAGCAAATTAATCCAGTGGCATACCGGCTGGAGTTACCGGCTTCTATGAAGGTACATCCAGTCTTTCATGTTTCTCTGTTGGAACCTTATCGAGAATCATCTTTTCCTGGAAGAGTATAATGTCCGCCACCTAGTATTGAAATCGAGAACCACGAAGAATACGAGGTTGAAAAGGTATTGGATTCACGGCAAAGGTGGGGAAAGTTAGAATATCTTGTTCATTGATGCGGCTATGACATTAATGAGCGAACGTAGGAGCCAGCTGAAAATCTTGCGAATGCGCCACAAAAGGTACAGGAGTTTCATCAACGACATCCCGATAAACCTAAATCAATTCGATGATAGCTTCTTTCTGAAGCTTGTTCTCCCAACAATATAAGAAAAGGGGAGAGCACCAGCAAAATTCATAGTTGATGTAGTTATTTTCTCCAAGATAGATCGTAGTTTGATCTTTTGATATGGATAGCCAAGAGATAGATACTATGCCAGTCAGAGTATCGCAACCGAGTAGCTCACGAAGGCGACCTCGAGATGAAGAACTACATGTACCACGACGACGACGGAGGATACCGAGTAACCGATCACTGGTGATCGTATTTGAGATCGAGCCTGCTTACGATGGTCAACCAGAAGGCGTGTTTGCAGGACAATTTCACAATGAGGACACGGAAGTTCATGCTTGGTCAGAAGTTGAAGGTGTGGGCCACTACCGTTGGCTTCAAGGGTCGATGAACCACTTGCCTTATGAACAACAGTTGGAGTTCATAGCACAAGTTATCGACAGATCTTCATTTTCTTGCGTTGGTATTGATCAACAAAATTGCTTCTCAGAGACCTCGAAGCTAAAGGAGGGGGTGATGTTAGGGACATATTCCTTAGAACTTTCTAGAAGAGAAGCCTTTAGAACCTTTTAGAGAGAAGTTTCTAGAAGCTTCTAGAAAGGAAGTCTCTGGAACCTTCTAGAAGCTTCCTAGTTAATAGAAGTAGCTCGAGAAGCTTCCTAAGTAGGAGTATATATAGGGATCGAGGCTGAAGAGTTCTTCAGTCTCGACAACACATCTCTTGGAATTCTAGCTCACCTTTCTGGTGTTGTTCTTGTACTCATCTGTTTAATCTAGTTCTGTCACTTCTTCTTGAACTTCTTGTTAGATTTCAAGTCTGTATTTTGTGTCCGTGACATAGAGCCTTAGGTGCATCTTTAAGATTGATAAGACCTAAGTCTTTTTTTTTTCTTAGATTTACAATATATAACCTAAAAAATTTTGGAACGAATACAAAAGAAATTTGAACCATTTGGACTACTTACATTCTTTTACTTTAACTATTAGAATAGAGTTGCTTATGTACTATAACATATAATTTTTTGATTTAAACTTAAATAAATTTCAACATTAAATATATATATATATATATATATATATATATATATATATATATACTTATATATGTGCATCTATGATAGAATCTTAAATTACCTCAATTTTTTGGCAATAAAGGATAAGATGCAAGAAAATAACCTTATTTTAAGTTTTTTTAATTTAAATTTATTTATATAAATATATTTATTCATTCCACTAAATTTATCTATTAAAAGATAATTTTAAAAAAAAAATGGCATAGAATCCTAATGTTTTTAAAAGCTCAAAATTAAAATTTTCATTAAACTTTGTTATTAATTTTTTTTAAATAAATAAATGAAAATTTAAGATATTTTAGAGATTTAAATATATTAAAACTTTCAAAATGAATAAAAATATTGTGAAGAATAAAATGCAAAGACAAAAAAATCCATTTGATCTAAGTGGGTTGCTTCAATAAATACTAGTTATAATCTCTTTTATAGTATTTTTTTTTATAAATTCTATATGAATTAAAAAAAATAAAATACTTTAGTCTAAGTTTTCTAACATGGTGTTATTTCTTCTATGATGATGAAGAAAAATCATTTTTTCTTTATTAAAGCTTCTTCTCAAATAAATTAATACAAAATGATCACATCACTATAGGTATGAAAATATAAAATAAGTCTATATCTCACTGATATAATCTAAGAAGCTTTTTATTTAAATTAATGATAAAAATTATTGAAATAAATATTAGAATAGTAATAGAAGAGTTTAGACTACATAAATAATAGAAAAGAATTATTCTATAAAAAAGATTACTTAAAAGTTTTGAAATAATTTTTATTAAAAAAATTACAACTATTTCATATGACTAAAGAGTTCTATGTCCCCTTGAAGTTACTTCAAACATATTGCCTATTGAGTTGATAACTATTGTCTTTTTTGGCACTCTTTAGCAATATATATTAGTTTCTTGGCATAAATACTTATTAACTTAGGTTTTTAAGTTGGTTAGAAAGAAGTTCTAAAATAATTACCAAAGTCAAAAGAATGAAAGTTAAAGAAAACAAGATGAAAGAAACAAATACTTCTTAGTCTAAAATCTAGACATTCTTTGAGGATTTTTAATATGGACTTTGGTACTAGATGTACATCTTTGTCTAAAACTTGGATATCTACTCAATGGAGATATAACTTGGACTTTGGTATTAGATGTAATTCTTGGTCTGAAATTTAGATATCTACTAAGTGGAAATATAATTTGGACTTTGGTACTTAGAAGCTTTGGCCAATTTTAAACTTGGCAACTCAAGTTTCAATAAAAATATCCTTTGAATAACTTGATTAAACTAGAATTTGATTCCAAAAAGTCTCCAAAATATATTAAAAGCTAGGACTAGTCTAAAATTTGGTAGTTTAAAATTGACATATACCTTGAGAACAATTTATTCAAGAATAATGATTAAGTCTAAAAATTCCTAAGCAAATTGAATTTGAAATAATTTCAAATAATTTCTAAAAAATAATTTCTAAACAAATAAATAAGTTGAATGGAACCGTAGAATGTAAATTACAATAATAAAGAATTGATAGCCATAAGACTCATACAATAAGAAAAGTTAAAAATTCAAAAAAAATATTAAAAATATCTTGTATTATTTAAAACTACTTTATTAATCAAATCATTATTTAAATATTTTGAAATCTCTCTAAACGTCTTAATAAATATTTTTGATAACAAAATAATATTTAGAATTTTTTTAATTTTTTTTTTTAAAAAAAGCCTTGAAAGTATAAAATAAAATTAAAACTAAAAGCTTTTTAATGTAATCAATACAAACTTTGGTACTATTTCAAAAATTACTCTTATTTTATCATTGATGAATATGTTGTACAATTTTCAATTAATATTGGTGAATATATTTATATACATATGAACACAAATTAATGTCTATTTATTTTATTAAACCAATATTATTTTATTTAGATACAACAAGTTATAAATAAAATAATGGTAAAAACATATTACACATTTCTAGTGTTTTAAGTGAAAATACCTCTCTGAATTTAGGCAAAAAAAATAATTAAAATTAATTTTAAAGTAATAAATTCAACTAACAGTTTTTAAAAAATTATAACATAATGATAAAGCCAACCAGGTAATATTAAAAAATATATTAATACTCAATTTTTATGTACTTTCAATTGATACCAACAGAAATTAAATATTAATAATCATTGATGACTATTACAATTTAATAAAATTATAGAATCATAGTTTACTCCATTACAAAAAATAATTTTAATTGAATATATGATAAAAACATCCTCCAAAAATTTCCCATTAAATGTTTTGAAATAATTTTCAAATTTCCAAATAAGATTGTTAAGGTAGTTCAATAATACAATATATGCATCTAGATTAGTCCAAACACATAGACAATGTAAGACTGTTTTTTCATTTGTGTTATTTAAAACATATACACATACAGAAACGAGTTGGATGGAAAATGTTTTGAACAGTTGTGTACACATGAGTTCAGCACATGTACATGCTCTAAAAAGTTTACACATACAGAAACAAAGTGATTACCGTTCTTTTCAGAAGTGGGAGTGCATTTTATATGTAATTATACCTGTCCACTTTTCATGGTTACAAGATTATCAACAGTGTAACGATATAGTTTTTAAAGAGTGTGTAAATAACGTATTATCTATCATGTAACGACCAAATGTTTTCTAGAATTAGCGGTAATTTTACAGAGATACATCAATGGAAAATTTGTTGAATCTATCGGCTGCATTAGCATTCACGTTGTGACGCAAAAAATGTCACCAAGGTACCAGCACTCACTTCTTTGCCATCAATTGTTAACAGCCATTGTTCTTGCATTGAAATGTGTTTCCAGTGGTACGCATTCAGTTTCAAGGCAGAGAACAATCGGTGACTGGGCACGGTACGGAGAATATGGGCATGTAATATGAAGTACATGTCATTAGCAATAGACAGAAAAATGAGGAACAGAAGTGATATCAATAGTTGGGTGAGGAAAAACCGCACACACCACAAGCATGAATTTAAAAATGCCACAACGGCTGTTTGTTTCATGGTTCTATTCGTACCAATATGTGTACACAATCAAAGCATGCAGCGCTTGCTTCATTCCAACCCGCACCATTGTTCCCCACTAGAACAAGATGCCCAAGTTCAATCTGCCAAGTTTCTTCCGCGAACACCCTCAAGATTCAAACTTGGAACCTAAAAGGTCATGATCTAGAAAATTCGTCAAGTCATAGTTTAATAAACCATTTGTGGTTCTGATTCGACGAGATCCACCGACCCGCTGTCTACAGGCTTCATCAAATACAAAGCGAGAAGCTCATTCACAAATCCAAGAATGGCAGGCACTCTCTGAAGCGCCTTCAGGGCAGCGGGTGCGTTAGACTTTCCAACGTCAATGAGCTGCTGATTAAGCACCACGAGCTTATCGAGTCTCTGTTGGAACTCTGGGTTCTCAACGTCGAGCACCGCAGGGAAGATCCTGGCTGTAGTCCTGTTTGTCTGCGCAGTGTCATAGTTGTAGAAGTGTTAAATAGGTCACACTTGAAATCTATGAATCCCATTAACTGCTGAGCAAGTAACAGAACTTCAAACAATTCAGCGCCATGGACAATACTTAAAGTTCATTAAGTGCACAGGACCGGCAAGGAAGTGTAAAACTTACCTCAACAATCACGTGCATGTCGAAGTCCCGGGTGTTGAGACCAATGCCCTCGTAGAATGAGGTTCTCTGTACATCATTCAAGTACATGGTGACGTAGACCTGCGTTTTCAAAGAAAGCTCATAGTCATTAAGCGTACAATCACCAACATACTTATCAGTACAATGGTATGGAATGGATCTTACAACTACAGCAAAAGTCATTGAAGTTCTTCAATTACACTGCAGTGTTTAAAGATTGACAAGAATGCCCATTGTGTCAGGGTCCGATCGTGGTGACACATCAAACACTGGAAAAGCAGAAAGAACGAAATACTTACAGAGAGGCAGAAGAAACGAGCCCAGAGCTTGGCCTTCCAGTCATTCAAAAACTGGGGCTGTGCCTTCATGAGTGCAGAGAAGAAATCACCGTGACGGTTCTCATCCTGGCACCAGTTCTCGAAATATTTGAAGATTGGGTAACACTGATACTCGGGGTTTTGCTTCAAATGCCTGAAAATGGTAATGTACCTCCAGTACCCGATCTTTTCAGACAGGTAGGTTGCGTAGAAGATGAACTGGGGCTTGAAGAAGGTGTACTTTCTTGTCTTGGTCAAGAATCCAAGGTCCAGAGACAGATTGAAGTCTGACAGTCCCTTGTTCAGAAACCCAGCATGTCTGGCTTCGTCTCTTGACATCAAGGTGAAAATCTCAGCCACAACAGGGTTGGTCTTCTGATGAGGTAAAACATCAAAGACAGTTCCTCCGTATTAGAATCAGTTCGTAATCAACACAAATACCCGAATATGCTACTAGCCCTACAAGGCAGACGGAATCACCCTAAGGGCTCCAAATCATACTTTTGAAGAAAATGGGGTGTCATGAGGAAACGAATAACTTAGATCTTAGATTTGTGTTGTGCATTTCAATGATTCAATCGAGGAAAGTCACCCAAAACACTCCAATATTAGAAGCAAGAAAGCTGTGCGTAATTACCCAAGATAGCGTACGGAATCCAATGTAGACATTCACCGCCAGATTGACAGGGCATTTCTATCCAAACAAGTTTAGAACACACATACCAAATGAGACAACATAGGTCGCAATTCAAGAGTTGGGGCAATTACCTTCAACCTCCTCCCAAGCTCCTTGTACAACAAGAACCCAGAGAACTCAGCAGTGCAAGACCGCTCAAGGAACTCAATAAAAATCTGCCTCAATGGTCCCTGGATGTTGTCCGCGGCTGACTTGAACTCGGGGTTCCGGACGAAATGGGTTTGGTTGTAATCAGCCTTGAACTCAGCAAGCAAGGACTCAAATTCAGCCTCATTCAGGTTTTTGTTAATCTCCACATTGAACAACTGCTCCATCTCGTCGAAGTCGGTCGTGTAAAACCGAGGGGTCAACAACGACTCGTCAATCTCCTTCTTCCCACCCTTGTTCTTGGGTGCTGCAGCCCCCGCGGCAGCCATGGTCACTCTAGAGCTCCCATTACCAGCTCCGAACGCCACCAACGCCGACCTGCGGCTAATAGGCCCAACAAAGCTCACTCTGTAGTTGGCTAAGCTTGAAGTTGTGGATTCCAAGGCCACCATGGCGCGTGGCGCCACTGTGGTCCCCATGGAGCACGCCATAGCTGCCATTGAGTTGAACAACCTGCAAGAGAGGGCAACCTCAAGAAAGACCCCAGCACGAGAGTGCACACCTGATCGTAGGTGACTGCTAACACATTCACGTCAGGCAATGGCTCCTCTATCTAAGCTCACGGTGAGGATGAAACCCTCGAGAGAATGCTTTCTAGAGGACCGAGTTTGGGCGGTCTAGGATGGATAAGGAGAATCAAACAGAGGTGTATGATAGGTCCTGTGGTTCTGGTTGTGATGGTTTAGCAACGAATTCTGTTGGAAAGCAGATTTCGGAGGAATTTGGAGGAATGCAATTTGTGGAGGAATTCGGCAGATGGTGACTCGGTGAGGTTGGTGGCTTAGACGGAGGGAGTGCCTGGGTTGCTTACATGGAGACATCTCATCCTCCAATTCACTTCAGGAGATATTTTGTAGATTTTGGCACGGTTTATGTTCAAATGAGGAGATTTTTCCATTCCTAATGTGAGTGCCCGGAATTCTCCATACTGATTTGCCACACAAAGCTTGTCCATCCATTCTGACATCAGATATAAGATTTACAAAAGACCCCAGTAAAAGTAAAAAAAAAACATTACTTGGGAATTCTGTAGGCAATCCGACCGCTAGAACGGTAAGTGCATATATCAAACCTAACACCTTCTGAGCAGCTAATGTCTAACTCAGAACTTTGGTTGACAATAACAAGACCTTACTTTTCAACGAGTACACAAGTTAATATACCATACACGATTCTGGAGCATGCATCAAGGGTCCTTTCAGAACGTTGAGTAAAGGAGTAAACTGTTCCACTACTTATGGAAAGAAATACAAAAATGTGGTCGACCCAAAATCAGACGTAAAATGTTGTACTATGGTCATGGTCACGTTAGAAAACAAAATAACGTCATGTAGTGCAAATGATATCTATTCTCAAATGATATCAAAATAATTTTGCTTCATGAATCACTAAATGTTTTTAGAGAGATCTTCTGGTGGCAACCCAAGAAGCTAATCAGGGAAAAAGTTAAATTGAATTTTAAAAAATATATCTCTTTTCATTTTGTTGCATTACATCTCTTTCCCAAGATACACATCTTCAGTTGAAAATTTTGGGTTGTTCCTTGAACAAACTGTAGGGTGATCCTATGGGTATGCTACTTGGAAGACGAAGTTGAAGAGAAGTTCTAAACGATTATCTTATTGATGTTGGCATGAGGAAATGAATGGCTGATATTCAAAAGCTGTATCTGATGTTACAAACCTACAATTCGCCTGAACTAAGCCGATCATCTAAACTATGGGTTTTAAATCGAAAGAAACATGCTTCGTTATCTGTTGCTCACCAAACTACTTTACAATTTCAAGAAGAGCAACTACTGCTGCCGTGTCTGACTCTTTGGTAACAAATAGTCGGTTCTGACTCTGAAAGTCGGAATTTGAACTGCAAAATTAGAACGTGAGCATTAGGATCTTTATAAGGGTGTTGATCAAGAAAACTATCATAAAATTTTGCTGATATTGTTAAGCCTGGACTTAAGCTGCAATCAGAGGGAATAAAATAAAATATTAAATTCAGGCATTGATTCCTGAAAAACCAGCAGCATGTGGGGCAGGATATCAGTGCTTGGACATAATGAGCAAGGAATATAGGATGCTTACTTCTTACACGTCTGGAGAAAACTTTCAACAGCTCATCAACTAGGATAACCTGCAACATTCATTCACAAAACATTAATTAAGGAACCAATGCATGCATGAATTAGAACTTCGACACCCTGCGCGACAGAACAATCCGTAGGTTAGGTAAAAAAATGAGGAAAACAAGGAAAACATAAGGAAAATAACTACTACAACTGGGCACCTCACTGAGAGTAAACACCTGATGCTGACCTAAAGAACCTAACATTCTAGGTCAGAGAGTTACTTACGGGAAATGAAAACAAAAATACAGCCTTCCATTCAGAAAATGTCAGCGCCGTCACCTACACAGACAACCAGTCTAAGTATCGAAAGGCAAGAACAGAAAGTGAAAGCTTGCACACAAATGATGGCTAGCCGTAAAAATATTTAAAACCCCTCTCAAAGTCTCTTCAAATGGTTACTTGATTCCCTTATTGAAGAGGAAATCGCAGGCGGTATGTTACACGTTCGAAAACTACAGAGGTGCATAAAGGAGAGACTTGTGTACTTGACAAACAATGTCTAAATATATTTTTTTAGAACACGGCTAACTGCTACAGAGATTTCCAGCTGTGACAACAGGTAAGTTCTTCCAACTACTTAGGAAAGTTGTACGGTGCATAAACTAGACATTTTCCTTAATGTTACAAGAAAAAGCTGTAAAACATGCAAACAATGTAACGTCACTAGTAGCAACATTGAACTGAAAGAAAGAGTAAGTTAAAATATACCGAGAACATTAAAGATAAAGCAGGAACATAAAGGATGAGCATGTGTAAAATCATGGAAACAGCAATGGCTCCAAGCAGCCACAGATTACTCCAAGGAGGCAAAACCCTAAACATACAACCAACTTCATTAGTTCTTAAGCAAATTATGTGCAAGTATTGCCATTGACACTAAATCTTAACACTTCTAAGTCATGCAGCTCAGACATCATCTCAAAATCATGAATTTTTCCGCATTAACTGGAAGTGAATGGCACACAAAGCACTGGAGTCGACTCACAAAAGACTTTGATTTTCACTCAAATTGTTCAGTGCATTGAACATCTCGACCACTACGAGTACGCTCATGGAGATGGTGGAGGGATGACGATCTTGAAAGATGCTACAAGAGTAACGAGCCTGCCCTTCAACACAAGAATCAAATTTGACCTGCCAAAATATCCAGTTTTGATCAGCTTCGAAAATTGGAATCTGAATCTTTTGATCGCATCTTTATATCTTATAATCTGCCATGATCAATACCAATTGCTACGTTTCGTAGACAAAAAGCACGTATTAAAAATTATCAACTTCTGAGAACATTCTACAATTATGTCACACATACTTCGATCGTAGAAAGGCAAGAATATTACCAACTCTGCCCAATGCAGCTGAGGACCATTTTCGTAATACAAGAACCACCATGCAAATCCTCCCACCGTTGCCAAACCTACATATGCTGAAATAGGCAACAGAAAATAGTAATATCAGATACAATCAGTAGCATAAACTACCATATTATGTCAAGATATGCAAGTTACCTTGAAAAAGAAGATATTTCGAAACTAACTTACCTCCAATCACTACATACCGAAAAAATAGCCACCCATTTACAATGGATTCATCCATCTGTTTCAAAATATCAACACCAATTAGCAACCAGTTGAAGTCTCCACATCACACAAATACACTAAAAACCCTGAGAAATTACGCACACTCAATGTATACCTGGATTAGTTTAACAACTGGGCACAAAGGCATTACGCCGACTATTCTAGGAAAATGAGCCGAATATGCTCATTATACTCATGCAATCCACCAAAAGAAAACGACAATGATAGTAAACATGGCTACTGTACCTTGCGTGGGCGAACCATCATGACATTACGATCCTGTTTGTTGAACCCTAACGCTGTAGCTGGTAGTCCATCAGTCACTAGATTAACCCACAGCAATTGTACCTGTTAAGTACATTTATAAGTTAAGGATATCCCTGAATCTTCAACAGAAATGGTCAAGCAGAAACCAACAGAATGACACAGATCTAGCGAAGGACAAACGAAGTGGATTCAGCAAGTGAAAAACTGAGACAACCATTCTTATGTTCAAGTACTAAAACGAGAAAGTACGCACTACCTGTGTGCATACAACATTATGGAGGAGGTCTATGACAAGTGCTTACAGGGACTAGTGTTTCCGGCATGCCTAGTGCAGCAGCAACAAAGATGCACACAACTTCTCCAATATTTGAAGAAACCATGTAGCGGATGAACTGTTTTGTGTTGTTGTATATGGCTCTACCTTCTGCGACAGCCTGCATCGAATTGTAGAAATAAAGATATATTTTAATGACCTCAGAAAAAACAACGAAGCACGAAGGGTTTCAGAAAAATACATGTCGACACGTTAAACCAAAGAACAGAAATGCCATGTAAACCGGAGATAGAAGACGTACATCTATGATAGTGCTGAAGTTGTCGTCCAGCAGAACCACATCGGAAGCACTCTGTAAAATGATGAAGTCGAATTAATGACAATGCTTTACGTCCATAAGTACTGAAATAATCACAGCGAATGGATGGACACAGCCCACACAGTTCCCATTTCTAGTATGGCAAAAAGATCTAAGCGCAAAAACACTTAACTGCTGGCGATCACTTGTGAAATTGCAAACATAAAAACTGCATACTTGTGTAATTACAGAAGTGTTCGTATCATGACAGAAATTAGTCGATTTAAACAAATGAAATTCGATAATACAACGCCAAACAAAAGGATATTTTTGGACACAAAAGGATATTTTTGGACACAAAAGGACATTTAGCTTGAAAGAAATCATGTTAACAACCGTCAATAAATATTATCAATACCTTAGCAACTGCGGTCCCAGAACCCATAGCTATTCCTATGTCAGCCTTCTTCAAGGCTGGAGCATCGTTAACACCATCGCCGGTCATGGCTACCTGCTCCAGCACAAAACATTAGTTACCTCAATGACCACACAACAATCCACATCTTCTATTATACTTGCAAGGGGTCACTTTAATATGTGTACATCAGCAAATACACTGTAATTGCCTTATATATACAAAAGAATTACAAGACCCAAGAAAATAAGGCGTTCATAAGACTGTCATCCCTCAGATTTAACAAGTGGGTTCATGTGTGAATGTTGTACAGCAGGATACTTACCACCTCATTTTGACGCTTGAGTACCTCCACTAGCATGCTTTTGTGTGAAGGTTCCACCCTGCATAGAAAAAAAAAATGAATCATAAAACAAAGACTTCACTCATATATTAAACTCTAAATGAACAGAGACCTTTCATCACGACATGGGTAAACTTGGCATCCTAAACAAAATTTGACACCCAAAAAGGCTTGGATTGATTCGACACTCAGAACAAATGGGCAGCATTGACCTCAGAAGGGACTTACCTTGAGAAAAGGGATAGCTTCTGTATTGCTACTGCTTGCTGCGAAGGCGTCAGCTCTTCGAACTCTGTGGCAGTGTAAGATTTTCCTGTCAAGTCATCGAGTGGATCGAAGACTCCGATACGGCGACATACTGATTCTGCTGTAGCCTACAAAAAAACATGAAGTCAAAATCAAGTCTAATCATCACCATCGTAAATCACATCAAAAGTGAATTACGTGAAACTCAGATCTTCAAGGACAAGGGCAAAGTAACTGAAAAGACGAGTGAAAACAGAGGCATGATACCATCATAAATGTACCTTGTTGTCTCCCGTAACCACAATGACACGAATACCCGCAGACTTGCAAGTTGCAATTGCATGTCTTACTTCATCTCTTGGTGGATCCATCATACCGACCTTCCAACAAAAAGGTCAGAAACAACGATCAACTTTGAAAAAGTCGAAACAGCCAGTGACAATATTCAAAATTGAAAAGAGGGACACATTCAATAAATTTGTGTTATACACGGACACAACAATAATCCAGAGTTTCTTACTTCCAGTGAACATCATCCTTTTCTACCTACGAGGTCGAAAATATAAGTTCTTAATCAATTAAGGGACAACATGAGTGCTTGAAAGCAATATAGATGTGAATAATACCAGTCCAACAAAAGTAAGATTACATTCGTCCGCTAGGGTCAATGATTGCTGGCCCATTGGCATAGGTTTTAGTGCAAGCGCTAAGCACCTCAAAGTTTCCTTCTGCCCATAACTGTACACAGACCAGAAACACCAGTTTACGAAGGCGATCCTCTCAATTTCGAAGATCCTAAAAACATCTTTTACATCAGTAAGGAATTAAATAAAAACCCTAAAAGGGAAAAGCAAACCAGACAGGATACCTGTACAATCTCTCCTCCAATTCTGCACGTATCTCAGCAGTCATGGGTGCAGCAGCCCCATCGTCATTGCAGAGTACACTAGTACATCTTGATAAGATGCATTCAGGAGCACCCTTGCAGAACAAAATTTCTTGCTGCTTCCGTGAACGAAGCACACTCATCATTTTACGATCCCTTGAAAAATCCAGTACGGAGAGCTATGCATATGTAGAAGACACAAGAATATCACATAAGATGAGAAAATCAGCACGCACAGTTGCAAGTTACGTATCCGCTAATGCTGCATGAAGTCCTTGTAAAAATAATAAAAGCGAACATTGACTTTACGCGAATTAACACATTCCAAGTAACATAGAAATCGAATTGCATAAACACATATCAAACTATACCTTATTAAACTGTTGTTCCCAATAATGATTGCAGTAAGAAACGCGCTCCTGCTTGCTCAACATTGTCAAAGCTGAGGGCATCGAGTCAAATCCTGGCAGCCCCACCTAATTCATAGTTCGCACCCAACTAAGGTTGTCAAACCCTCGGAAATCGGTTACGAACTTTAATTAACGAATACTTGAAATGCATCGTTACCTTTTCAGAAAGGACGCGAAGAGCCACTTCTGTTGATTCCCCAATCTTTTCGTAAGTTCCCCGTTCTATGTTGTACTGTACAGATGATTCGTTGCAAAGCGAAGAGCACATTGCGAGATGCAACAAGCACGGTAAATCCGCTGGATGCTCCAACTGCACATTGAAAATTGGTATCAGCGATCCTTCCTAGGTAGTTACAAGACCTTCAGAGGCTTATCCAACAAGAACAGAAAATAGAGTTACAAACCTTCAAACCAGCTCCATCCAGGATGATGCCTTCAGGAGCATAAGTGCTGCCAGTGACATTGTATTCTGCGGTAACAGGCCCTCGATGAGCGGAACGCACCACACATACCTGGCAAAGCTCAGGTTGCTCAGAACCACTTGAAGATACTAACCATTTGACTTGCACACAAAGTTCAACAGAAGTAACTTCACGGAGCCTGAAATGAAGGAACGTTAAGAAAAATGTATCATAGATCAAATGCACTGACCTTCGAGATCGACATCATATTCGTTGTCAATGTGCCAGTTTTGTCACTACAAATTACTGTTGTACATCCAAGAGTCTCCACAGATGTCAAAGTCCGCACAATCGCTTTCAGCTTAGCCATTCTTTTGGTGCCAAGGGCCAAGCAGCTGGAGATCAAAGAAAACACATTTACAAGCTTCTGAGGTACATCCTGATCAAAAATTACAATTTGAAAATATACGTTTACATCCCACTAACGCACCTGTTTCGACTTAAAGTGAACTTAAGAATAACAGCAGGCCAAGGGAAGTCCGAAAACACTAAGCATAAGAGCTTCAACTACCAGAAACCAGATGTTCAACCTACAGCTGCACCTAGAATGTAATTGGCCAAGTGGGGCAGGACATGTCTTACGACTCTCTCGCAAGAAATATCCTCCTCAGATGGAGGTTGACAGACGTTCATCCCAGGAAAAGGGCATTCCGGGCAAAGTGCAATCCCAAGAGTTGAAAGTGCATTTGGAAGACCCAGACAGGACTTCCAAGAATTGCATATTAATACTGCCACTACGGCAACTACATGAAGGGTAATCTCTATGAACAGAGAGGCATAACACTCTTTGTAGTGCATGCTTCAATTTGGAGTTTCTAAGAATGAGAGCAAAAAGGAGTAGAGGCACTCACGTTGTCACCACAGCCGGAAGACCTTCAGGAATTGCAGCAACTGCTAGTGCAACGGCAATCTAAATTCCCTCAAAGAAAAAAGAAAGAGAAGGAAAAAATCAGTATCCATTCAAACAAATCCTGACGAGTGACACTTCACAGAATGATACGCAACTTGGTACACGATTGCAAAAACGTAAGTAATTACAAAATACATACCCAGTTGTGGTGAGGATACAGGTGCCTTCCAAAGGATATTGAAGGACCTTCAGAGCAAAGAGCCGTAAAAGCAAGTGGTGCAAGCTTAAAACTGACACATTTAAGTATTGAGTAGCCTACAAACCCTACTCCAATTTCATCATTTGTCTAGTCCCTTTATACCAGAAAAGAATTGGTAATTATAATCTGTATTATCTGAGACTAGTATGGAACCTTGAAGTAGTAGATGGCTCCACGCAAGATGCCTCCATGAGCGGGGTCTCGGAAGTGACCAATGTTTACCACCCAGACTAGTACACACACTACTGCAATGACCTGATATACAAACTCAACATCAACATCAACTATGAAACACAACAAAGCAGGTAAGAATACGTGTGCAGCGCAATGTGCGGATTGAACTTAGATGCACTCATTGCACTACATGACAAGAAAAAACTACTAGATGCATGATTGTGTGCCTTAAAACATTCCAATCATCACGAACCTTAGACAGAAATGACCCGAACTCATCAAGTTTCTTCTTCAAGGGAGTCATCTCCTGCAAAACCACGAAAATAACATATATAATATATCACTACCAAGTGCACTCTTGCCACAATTGGACAATATCCCTCAAATACTGAAATTCCGCCTCCAGCCACAATGTGAACACATAGTCAAAAAAGATTTAACACACCAACGTTGCAGTACAAGAAGCACTGAGATTATCTAGAGAATGATTATTTCTTGGATTGCAAGGAGATGTATATTCTTACAGCCACGGACTCTGACATGGCATCTCGAATCTTTCCCATTGCGGTATTTGAGCCGACACCAACAACGACTGATCTTGCTCGCCCCACTGTCACTACTGTACCCTACAAATGCACGGCAGCATCGTTAGCAACCTAAAAACATATTCAATCAATTTACTTAATAAAAAACTATGTTGAGTGTTTGGAAATCTGTTCCCCCTAACAATCAAGTCGTTTAGAGTGGCAGCTAATTTCATTTGCGGCGACTAAAAATAGGTTACACATAAGGATATTCTAACACATACTGAGAAGAGAATGCTCGTCTTGTCTTGATATACAGCCTTCTGTACCACAGTCCGCTCCGAGCTTTTTGCAACAGAACAGCTTTCTCCTGAGATAGTAGTAGGATTCAGCAAACTTGTAGAGCCTCAATATCACTCTCATGAGAAATGCATATTAATTTTTTTAATGAAAGCATAAACAGCTGAGCCCGCACCTGTCAAGATGGCTTGATCAACACGTAGTTGATTACTGAACATCTCCACAATACGCAAGTCTGCTGGAACTTGGCAACCGACTACAAGATAGACCGTAGAGGATCAGAAATCACTCAGACAAGTCACTCAAACGAACGAATACGCCCAGTGATGAGAAAACACCCATACATAAACATGAAGAGAACTTGTAAGCACCTTCAACATAAATCACACTGAACATCAAATAATGAGACCTTCGACGTGCATTCATGTTCGACTAAGTGTTTTAAGAATTTATCTCACCTGAAACTTCGACAATGTCCCCAGGAACCAGCTCTGATGCCGGAATTATGGATAACATTCCTGAATCGAACAACCCACACCCACTCTAAGTTGCAAGGCAACGAGTTGGACCCTCACTGTCCCAAAAATGCCAAGGCATGGTGATTACACATTTCACATCCGTGACGATATGAAATCCAATGAGAACAGCTAATAGGCAGGTCAAAGGTCTCAAAGTCTCCTCCAGACATTGTTCCTTTTAGTCAAATAATGGATTTCAAGGACCAACTCTAAATACAAGTGGCAAAGCACCTCATGTCTCACCATTCCTTAAGACTGTTGCAACCTCTGCCTGATATGCCTTCAATTCCTGCCAAAGTAAACACCGAGTTTCGTGGTGAGTATACACTAAAAACCGACGTCTCATAAAGCCTTGAGATTATCATAACTTGAACTTACACATGGTAGTTTGATCATGACACATAAAAAGAAAAGTTCTATACGAGGAATAAAGGAATATGTACCGCCAGAGCCTTCTCTGCATTAGTCTCCGTAAGAACACCAACTGCTGCATTTGCTGCTAGTATCAGTAAAATTACCTGCATCAAGTCAAGTGGAAAATTACACAACCCTTCTCACATGTTTCTGGCTGATAGAGTACCAAATGAACCAAACAAGAAAGTAACAGGTTTTTGCTTGAAATGGGATTTATACTTACTGCAGGCTCAACAAATGCAGTGAAACCAGTCTCGCCATTTACGAGAGCTAGAAAAAATGAAACTATTGCTGCAACGATTAATATTTTCACCAGCAGGTCATCGAATTGCTTCAACACCAGTTTCCAAAAAGGAGAGCCTGTTCAGCCAAAACAAAACAAACAAGTTGCTACTTGATTACTTGTGTTTTGTGACTGCAAATCTTCTAACCATACCTCATTTTTACATGAGTTTAAATAGATGAATGTCATATTAAAACATCAGCTAAAACAGTACACACCATAACTAAATAGTAGAAAACATGAGAGACAATGAAGAACAACTTACCCTCCTCAACTGGTAGGACTATATGTCGAACGTCCACATATGCATCCAACCACCCAACGACAATCAAGGTTAATTTCCAAAAGATCTGATGAATACATCCAGCACATGCAACACAAATTTCAATCTTATGGAGTCTCTAGATCGACAATTATATACTTACTTCAATATCTGTAGTGTTGAAAAAACACAAGTTTAACCCTCGTATGTGATGACAGGAATTACACTGCATGATTTAAATCCATACTGACATACAACGTTGCACCAAAACAAAACAGCGAATAGTGAGGTACCATTCAGTCCATGCATCGCCCGATTCTTTTCAACCTGCGACAAGCAACCGTCTTTAAAAGAGGATGCAACACGGCGTTCCTTTCTGAAAGCACTATCAGAAGGAAACTTGCTCCCTACAACGCTTCAAATTCATGACAATAAACATCATTTTCCATGAGGTACCTGGGTGTCATTGAGGCCTCGTGCGGGATCCACATTGAAGAAAGCTAAGACCTGTGTAAATAATGCGATTTTCGTAGTGTATTATGTTAGATGAACGTTCTGAAAAAGATGATAACGAACCCAAGCATTGAATTTAAAAATAAGCTTTGATGCTAACGGAGGTTATTCGTAGATGATTGCGTGCTTTCCTGCTGCTCTTAATTGTCAGAGACTGTAAGACAAACAAATTTGTATGGCTGGAGGCATAACACCTCTCTTACTGCCAACAGACCTAAAGGTCTCGGACAGTGAAACCTCGGAGACAACCGAAAGATAACATTACTTCATAACATTCTTTACAAACACCCTCCAGCATTCCTATCATTCTCCTATCCGAAGTTGTCACAAATATTACAATAGGTGTAGTACATTGCAAGATGGCAGGCACAAAATATGTGAACCTGATTCGTATCAGGAGCACAAAGTACACAAGTATTGAGGCTAATTAAAATGCGTCTCAATTCCGCCAAGTATTCATGTGTCCAAGTTTAGCTGCCACACACTTTTGTCACAGAGAAACTACGAATTCATCACCTGAATCCAGATCTTTCAATTTCAGACAATTCTGCAAAACGTTTGAATCTATAGAAAAATAGATTTCCAGCGGTCATGTTGATTCTAAATCCGGCTAGTATGGCTATCATTGAAATTTAGGGCTATCGTAAAAATCCATTTGCGGCGAGGGTTTATATCGACCTCGATCTAAAAGTTTAAGGATCGATCTCTTCATTTCACTGCATCCAGAATCTTTCATCACTGAATTCATTTTCGTTAAATTTAGTCCCAGAGTGTATTCCAGAGAAGACCCAGGGTTTCAGACAGAAGAGCAAAGGGGTGGACGTGAGAAAATTATCAAGAATTTTTTTGTTATCGAAACTCCCGAAACATTTTTTTTTTTTTTTTTTAAATCATAAATCATAAATCGCGCCACTCCAAAAGTTGTATGTGAACCAAAATCACCATCACAGGACCGCCAGAAACAATCGATTCAAGGGGAGACAAACGCAAATCTAAAACCGAAATCCACGAAAACTTAAAGGACATTGTCACCTCTTCGGTGGATCTCGCAAAAGCGTCCTCCATATCTCCACCTCCTAAGTCAGGAAGGCAAGCGGCTTCACGTGAGAAGAGTCCAGCTCTTCAATCTCTTTTCTCACAGACAAAACCTCAAATCCTGACGAAAATCGAAACACCCAACAACTCTGATTTCCACCTCTTCCCCAGTCTCCCTCCCCCGACGGACACCACTCACAGCTTCGAGTTAAGCCCTAAGTGACGCAGATCCGGTTCCAGCTGTCATGACTGGCTATGGAGACTCAAAGCAAGCGCTTGCAAACTTGGTGATGAACAAACATAAGCCTGCGAAAACAAAAAGCCAAATGGAGGCTAAAAGTGAACCTGGGCTCAAAAAAGGTAATGCATCCGCTCTTCATATGAAAAGGCTTAAAGCCTGTATTTTATTGGATCGGACCCACATTGCTTGACCCCATTGCTTCAATCGCATCAAATAGCGGGAAAAAAATAATTTAAAAAATAAATAAAGAAAGAAACATGGTTTGTTGGATTTTAATGCCTTCGATCTATTTCTTTCCCTTTTTGCAAGGCCTTTTCAATGTTTGAGAAATATAATTGATGCACATTGTCATTAACAGAATATTCTAAAAGTGTATATACTTGTTTATATGCATGTTGTGTGTCTAGGTAATCAACGTCCTTTCGTATTATTTTGTATATATACATATATATACATATAACTTTTATTTATACCTTACATTGTTGCATTATACATTGTGTAAAGATATAACAATGATATTTTTATGTATGTTTTTTAAGTCAAAGAGATCAGATCAGATATTTTTTCCAGATATATTTACATTTAAAATTATTTTAAAATTTCGAAAATTCAAAAACTAAAAAATTTGCACCAGAATCGTTTTATTATATATATATATATATATATATATATATATACATACATATATATATAAATATATATATACATACATATATATTACAATCTCAAATTTATGTATATTTCTGAGTAGACTTTTTTCTCTTTAAAAATATATACATTCATTTTGATGCTAATATAATATATATTTCAAATTATATAAGATCATAATATTATTAATATAAATTATTATTAAGGAAAAAGTATTTCAATACTTACATGTTTAAAATTTACTTTCAAAATATTATATATTTAAAAATATTTAAGAAATATTAATTAAAATTTGATAATACCTCATTCAAAATTTTAAAACATCATTCAATAAAATAATAATTTTTTTTCAGTTAAAATCCCACAGAAATATAGTATTATATCAAAAATTTCAAAAACATTAAGTAAGCGGGTTTTATTATTTAAAGATTTATTAGATGCAATTAAGATATAAATATTTGTTTTGATACCTAAATAATGTAAAAACATTAAATAAAATACTTTAAATTACTATTTGTTAAAACAATTTTTTATATAATAATAATTTTTTACAATTATAACCTAGATTCCTATAAAATTAAATTAAAAAGATAAAAAGATAAAATTTAATAAATAAATTACAAACTGTAAGATATATATCAACCAAAATTATAATATTCAACTATATGTCCATGATTGATAGTAGAAATATTTACAACATCACATAAATATTAAATTTAATGCCTATTATCTTTTATTGCAATATATAAATTATATATATAGAGAGAGAAATGATATGGATTTATTTTATTTTAATAAATAAAATATTATCCACATATGTAAATATTTTATATTAAAAAGATGTCTTATTTCTTTAATAAATCAAGAAAATAAAATATAATAAAAATATTATTTATATATTGTATTATGAATCAAATTTATGTATATATTTATTTATATTTATACAAAATGATATATAATCTATTTTAAAAAATATTACTTTTGATGAATTTTACTACATTACTTAAGAATATAATATTTTAATAATATAACTCAATATATATTTTTATTTATTTATTTATTTATTTATATAATATTTTTTTAATTAAAAAAATAAGAATAAAAAGACAAACAATTGGGTAATTGGTATAACAACTAGCTTGTGTTTAAGAAAGTTGTAATTTAATTCAATTCATTTACAACCATAAAATACAACAATTATGTAAAGGTGTTACAAACATACATATTTATTGACATTAAAGAGTTATATAAAAGTAAATAGAAGTAAGTAAATTTGATAATATCTTGTGCGAAAGCTTTTCAGAAGCTTTATAGATGTAGATTTGACTGTATATGTGTTTGTAGATAATTAATAGGTTAAAAATTTGGCCAATAAGTTGACCATGTATTGTACATATTGATAACTTGTGGTACAAGTTGGCCATATGATGTATATGTAAGAAACTTGTCTCCTAAATTAGACATATGTCTTGTAAATTGGACATATATCAAAGGTTCCATAGAATGTTGTCATGGAGCTCCTACTTAAATAGTATATATGGAGTCAAGAGTGAAGCATTCCTTGTTCTTGTCAACATTTTTTTTGTTCTTTTTGTCTTTAGCAAAATCCATTCTAGTCATAATATTATACAATTTTTGAATAATTGTTTCTTATTTTTCAGTGATACAAGAGTATATTAATTCTTTCCATTTTTTAAATTTATGTCTTTAATAAAGAATAAGGCTTGTAAGATAAATAATAATAATAATAATATAGTTACAAATTATAAAACAAATTAGAAAATAATATATAATATAATAAAAATTATTTAATAAATTAATAATCAAATAAAAGAATATAATTTTATATTTATAATAAAAATAAATATTATAATTAATTAAAAAAATCTTAATATTAAATACATAAATACATAAATACATAATTTTTATTGGTTTATATTATATTAAAAAATATAAATATATATATAAATTGAATATAAAAATATAATATATTTATTACTATTATTATTTTTAAAAATTATTGATATATGTATTAATTTATATGAATAATAAGTCTCTTTTATTAATAATTTTACTTACAACCAATGTAAGACAAAATTTATGGTAGAATTATTAAAAGGAAAAGTTATTTTGAACCATCTTTACATTGCTTAAAGAAATTTTATACAACACAAAAACACATATAATAGAATTAAAAATTCCATCAAAACCTTAATACCACATATAATTAAAAATAATATTTTTTTGATAAAATATTTTTAAGAATAAATTTGATTATTTGTTAAAACATATTTTTTTTATATTTACATTTCAATTTTATAGTTTAGTCCACAAGACATGTTTATTTATATATATATACACATATATCAATAGCTTAGATATTTTAATCATAAATGATTCTTATAATGAGAGAGTATGATTTATTTTTATAAATTCAATCGTTACTCACAATTAAGACCATTTCCTATTTTATTTATTGAATTCTTAAAATAATATTTTTAATCAATATGATGTGGTATCATTGATTAATCTTAAATATTTAGATTTCCATAATGGTGTTAAAAAACATAAAAAAATATTTATGTAATAGAAGAGACCTTAAAATAAAAGACTTTATTTTATATATAACTATTTTAAAAATACTACAATTCAACTATAGATATGTAAATAAATGTTTTATTTTTAGAATAATTTAGAATCTATATTTTAAAATATATATATATAATAAAAATTATTCTAATCATTTTTTCTAAATTAATAATTAAAAAATACGAAGAAAAAAAAACTACCAAAATCAATATTTATATATATATAATTATGTATATATATATAAATATATATATATATATAAATATATATATATATATAAATATATAAATATATATATATATATATATATTTTATAGAAGTCAAAAAAAAATGTAATAATATTGTTCTTTCTATATATATGTTAACTTTGAAAGACAATATACTCACATATCATTAAAGAAGGAAAAAAATAATTAAAGAAGATATAGATATAATATAAAAAAGAACTAAAATGGCTATTACCAAATACGAAGAAATTAGAGAGTCTTAAACCAAGGTTCAAATACAAGCAAGTTGTTGACAAGAATGAAAAATGCATTATTCTTGCTTCCAAATATACTAACCTCTAATAAGGTCTTAAAGAAGCTTTATAAAGACTATATAACTTATGGCCTAAGTGTTAAGTTATAGATTGCTTCTAATATAGTTTTCTTAAAATATAAAATTTATATAATAAATTCTAATAGCCATGATATATATTTATAGGTATTTATAAATCTAATGTGTATTCAAGAAAATTTAATTGTTTTGTTAAAAATATTAATTTTTAACATATTCTATTTAATTTTATTCATTTAAATGTTATAAATATATTTTATAATAAATTTATATATATATTTTTTATAAAATATCTATTGCTACATGTAAAATTTAAAAAATGAAGTTATTGATTCTCAATAAATAAGTTAATCTAAATAGTTAATCAATGCAAATCAAAATTTAAATCTAAAGTTTTTTGGTTCACCTTTAAATCAAAGCTTATGCCACATCAACCTAGGCTTTTTTTTTCTTTGTAGCACAAGCTCTATTGTGACAACAAAGCACATAAAATAGCAATAATTACTGGAATTTGTACCAATATGATGGAAAATATGCAAAAAAAAATTTAATTTTGTTCAAGAAACTATTTTTAAAGTTTAACCATAAAAAAGAAAAAATTATGTTAAAGCATTCAAGAATGTATTAAAATCAAATTTTGAAACTATGAATGAATAAATTATAAAATATAAAAAAGAATAATTAATAATTAATTAATTAAAAATTAAAAAATATTGAATGTAGAAGTTGAATTCTTATTTTGAAGAAAAAGAATCTTAATAGAATAAAAAGAATTATATTGAAAAAAATACTATATAAACTTGATTATAAATAAAAATAACTATTCATGGATCCAAACCATTGTGCTTCACTGATTGTCTTTGGGACTTATTATTATTGCAAATGCAAGATGTATTAGAAATTACTTTTTATTTTAAATGAATAGAAGTTCTTTTGTTGGAAAATTTAATCTAATTGGCAAAATGAATACTAATTTTCTAGCAAACTAACCTCTAAGAATTCTTGGTTTAAGAACTTAATCTATTAGTTGTGTAATTATTAATCAAGTTCCATTGCAAAGTCTTTCCTAAGTGGCAATATTCTTTAGTAGCATCATTAGAGATCTAATCTTGAAACAAAGCTTTAATCTAGCCATTTCAAATGAATTAAGTGACTTAATAAATTTGGCTAAATAAACATTATTATTGTTGATACCATCTTCAAAAACAACTTCATTGATATTTAGATATTCTTATTTTTTTTTAAAGAAAGATAGCTAGAATTTTTTGATTAATTTCTTTTTCATCATCA